TTCGAGGACAGTTTTCTTTTCGGAATATTTGTGGAGTTTACTCAGAGTACAAGAACACAGGACGCTGTCTGCGGACTCACCATGAGAACCTGTGCATGAATGAAAACGTACGTGGGTTCTTGAGGACGGATGCCAACGTCGTCGGGCTATCGTTTAGCTTGGCACGTCGGGTTAATATCGTGTGTATTAAGTAGGAGACTTATTTTTACATGCTACATTCATGTGGAGCGGTGATTAGTTTGGTCTCGCTGAGAAGAAGTGAGGCCAAAATGGAAATCACCATTTATAACTGTGCCCTATGTAGAAGACCAGGTTTTCGGCAATCCAATATGTGCGTAGTTGCAATACTCGTAGCAGGAAAACTCTTTTGATCGCAATGTTAAGGATTCACAATCTGTCAGCCTCAGAAATTGGTATTCGAACCCGCTTACAACTGGATATTTTGATTCACGTGCATAACAACTTACTTGGAAAAGTCGACTCGTACACTCATGTCTGATTCAGTGTCAGAGTATTTTTCAAAAGCTTCCGCATCGACACTTTTGTGCAGTGACCCGAGACTGATATTGACGTGACCTCTGGTTGATGTGTTCAGATGCACCGTGCCTTGTGGTAAACAACCCTGCAATGGCAGAGAAAGGGGAGCAATGGCCTTGATGTCAGCCGTGACGAGGACAGGCACTGTGCGAGCTTCGGTTGCCAGGGTCGCTAAAGCTTCCGGGTGCATGTTAGTTTCTAAACAAGGCAGTTGTATGGGGCAGTGGTATTTAACCTAGCCATATTAGCCCCACCCCCTTAGTCATACGCTTTTATGCTGGATTGATTGTGCCATTGGATAACTCGATTTAGTTTATTGAGATACTTTGGTCTTAATCCATATATTACACGAAAACCACCAAGTTAGCTGTTTGTTTCGATGTGAGACAAACCCACTCTTTTATGGAGAGATGCATTTTTTTTCGTCTCACAACTCCAACACAATATTTTTCATCGCAGGTGATGGGACAACAAGCCTCTGACTGAAGGGTGGAGCTTTGAAATTAATGATGCTCACTGACCAAATAAAAAAAGCTTGAGGCTCAAATGTGGAGCCCTGTTTGGTGACGGCTGAGAAGTGAGAACTGGTCATGCCAGTTTCTTTCGTCTTTTTCAATGCTTCTGATAATTACAGTGAATAATGTCATCAGGATTTAAAAACGGCCCTTTTTTTCTCAGCCAAATATCTTCTCGTGAGTAAAATAAGATGCCGTCACGCAGTGCATCCTTTAATTTCCACATGGGGTCAGCTATGTTCCGGGGTTCGCTACAACGCTTCTGCTTTCAATTTTGATTAAAAACCTGTTCTAATGGAACTTTGATGAAGGCAAGTCTTTCTGCAGAAGAATTCGCGATCGCTGGAACATGAAGCTTACTCGGCCGACTTTTCAGCCTCCCGCTTGAACTCATAATCAGAGACCGTTGCAAATAAGGGTGATGAGGGCTGCAAGGATGCATTTGCCATGCAGCCACGTCTTTAGACCAATAAGCAAATTTCACGGTCAGGAATGGTGAGTGTACAGGATGTGAGGATTGCTCGTTACCCTGGGCTCGAGTCGTGATTTGCCGAAATTCCATCAGTTCAGTTACAAACGTGGTTGTGACTTACTGCAGCGAATCAGGAGACAAAATTGCGGAATTGGAATACCTTCGACGGATGCTAAGAGCGCATGCCTACTCCCCCCCCCAACTTTGTTGAAGGATACATGCGTAACCGAAACGAGAGACCGAACCGCATCAGCCCCAAATTTTTGAGAGCGCTACCGTTCGTGAAAAACGTCTCGGAAGCCGTTAGCCGCCTTCTCACACCACTCGGAACTGGATTTGCACAGCGACCAGACGCAACTGTCTGGCGCCGTATAATGAGCTAGAGGGACCGGCTGCCAAGGCAAAAATGTCTGGATTTTATTTATGGAATCTGATATGGTTGCTGAAAAAGCAACTTCATTGGAGAACCCGAGAGACTAGT